TAGTATTTCACTGTATGACTATACCACACTTGATGACTAGTGTAGGTGCACCTATGGGTTGTTTCCACAATTGGGTGATTAGGAATAGTGCTGTTTGAGCATTCTCGCACATGTCTTCTCTTGAATGGTTCCATGTATTTCTGTTGGGTATATACTTAGGAGAATTGCTAGGTCCCAGGGGACATGTATGTTCAGCTTTAGTAGATACTAATTTTCCAAAGTGGTTCAACTGATTTACACTCTGTACTATCAATGTATAAGCACTCCACATTCTTAGCAACACTTGGTGTTTTGTGTCATCTTCCTTTAATGTGGCATAATACTGTGATTTTGCATTTCTTTGACAAATGAAGTTGAGCATCTGTTCACATCCTTTATTGGCCATTTGAATATCTCCTTTTGTGGGGTGCCTGGTGAAGTCTTCATATAGTTTTCTTTTGGGTTGTCTTTTTCTTACTGATTTGCGGGCATTATATATTCTAAATATGCGTGCTTTGGATATATGTCACAAGCATCTTCTATTAGGCATTTTTTTAAGTATAATTTACATACAATGAAATCTACTATCTTAAGAGTATCATACATTCCATTTATCAAAACACAGAACTTTTCCATCACCCAGAACGTTTCCATTTTTTCCTTCCCAGTCAGCATCCCCTCTCACAAAAGAAACAATTCATCTGATTTCTCTGACCATAGGTTAGTTTTGCCTATTCCAGAACTTTATATAAATAATTTTCTACAGTGTATACTTTTGTGTTCAGCGTCTTTCACTTAGCATGGTATTTGTGAGATTCATCCATCTTGTGCCATTTATCAGCATTCATTCTTTTCCTTTGCTGAGTAGTACTCCATGGTAGATTATCCCAGTTTATTTTTTTCATTCTCCTGTTGGTGGACGTCTGGATTGTTTCCAGTTTCTGGTTATTATGAATAAAGCTGCTTTGAAAATTCTTGTACAAGACTTTTTATGGATGTAGTGTTCACCTTTTAAAAATTTGTAAGTATTTTTTTCTTTAATCATACTAAATACTCAGTTTGTATATTGTTCTCTAAGAAGTCCCAGACACATGAAAGCCTAGATTCGTGCAAAAGATAAATGATTCATTTCCTAGAAGAAATTTTTAGAAAAAAAATTCACAGTAAGAATCTATTACTAGTGGCTTGAGTAATTATTACAAACAACTGCTTGGGGATATCAGTTTCTCTCTTTGCTCATTTGGAGTTTCATTCATACGGATTTTTCCCTTTTTCCCACTTGTATGGACATATATAATTGGCCTTACCGTAGTTATTTGCATTTGCACTAATAGAGATCTTGTCTTTTGAAGGAAGAGAATTACTTGGTCCAGTGCCTCAGCCTCTCAACTGAATGCTTTGAATTCGGAACAGTTTAAATAATCCTTGGGAATGGGGACAGGTGAACATTCTAAAAACAGGCATAGCTTACAATGTTTAGAAAGTACAACAGTAGAAAAATTAATTTTGTGCTACATGTCACATTGGAGGTGTGTGTGCTAAATATCTGGTGATCTTACATAAAAAAACAGCACTGCTGAACTCATCTACCCCAATGCCTATGATGTTACTTACTATAAATACTTTTTGAAACATGAGAGCTTTGATCTTGTTGCCAAAATAATGTGAGATCCTGTAAATTTTCTAATTATAAATGACAGTACTTTAATTTCACTTCACTTTGCCTTCTGTCCTCCCCATCCTGCCCCCGCCCCCCAAAAATGGTGTGACTATCACTTCAAGTCACAGGATTGAATTAAAGCACACATCATTTCTGCTTACCGCAGGGAGAACCATGGCTGCTCTCCCCCCAGATAACTACTGTGAGTCCCAAGTAGGCTCTTCTTTCCTTTATTCTGTACTGGACCAAATGATTGAAGTTGCCTGTCAAAAGCTAGGCTAATAAAAATGGAAGTTCTTTTTCTCAAATAGGGCATAAAATTTGTTTCTTTAAGCCAGTTGTTCAGAGAAAGCTCTCAGAAGAGATACGGAATTTGGAATTCAGTTTTGCATCTCTTCCTCAAAAGACGAATATGATTACTTGCTATATGGTGAGCAGTGTAATATTGATTACACAGTGTATATGACACCTTTGATCATAAACATGTCACTTTAATGTCTTTTCCAACAAAAGTTTTAATTTTGGAGGGATAATAATTACAAATGCAGTTCCATGTAGTGGCTCTATTTTGTACATTTTAAAATTTAGAATCTACCTCTAGGTGGCAGCACCAGATACTTTTTTTTCCTGTTTCACTCCAGCCTTAATGAGTTATGGTATAAGCAGTAAAACTTTTAAGTCTCCCGAAACTTTGAAATAAGCTGCTTGTTGCCAATTCCATGAGGATTTGGAAACATTAGTTCCTATGTTTAGTAAGCCTAGATTCTGACCTTTAAAAGAAAGATTCCAGCAGCAGTGATCCTTATTTTTTAACATGACATATGTTTTCATAAAAAGATTTAATTTAGCCCTCTGATTTGCCCGTTGAACTTATAATTGTCCTCCCAAGAAAATTACTTTTTTATGACATTTTTGTATCCAAGTAACTCGTACAGGGATCATTATATACCTGATATTTTAAGGTAATTACGGTGTCCCCTCCTTTTATATTTTTAAGATTTATCATTGATCTATAACCAAGAATGCTGAGATGAAACCCCTTCTCTTTAAAGAAATTCAGCATGGGAATCAATCTGAAGTAATCCACTATGCCACTTGGCTTTGTTATTGCCATGGGCAGATTAGGGTTGTTTATGGACTTGGACATTAAGGTAGACATTTCATAAGGCTTGATTTTTTTCATGACTTTTGGCCACTTGTTGGGCATTTCTCTAAGTAGCAAGAGGACCCTTGTCCACTTTTGGCGTACTCAGCAGGCAGGCTCCCCTGTGGCCTCACGTACACTAAATAGGCGGATGCTGGTAGGGTGGCCTAGAGAGAGCTTTCGTTGTTTCCTTGCTGCAGGTTGGCCATTTCTGGGTATGTGCAAAACCAGTGTTGTTTCATTTCTGGATTTTTGGATTGTGAAAGAAGCCTGCCGTTGAGAAAACCTTTGCCTACTGTTTCTCCTTACTTTTGAATAGTATTGGCCTGAGAAATTGGTGAATAATCATGCCATCAGAGAAAGGATGAAGTTCTTCCTCATAATTGTTTATGAAGCAAAACATTATGTGAATACAGTTGGACTCACAAACGTTTCAGGAGTTTGCAACAGTTACCCTTCAGTACGGAGAAGAAATGGCCTCATTCACGGGTGTGGCCTCTCTCACTCATTTTCTCTGCCCCTCTTTGTCTTTAAATGGGAAGGTATATATTCCCACACTCTTCACTAATTTGCTATTTCTCTTAGGGGATAGGTAATTTGTAAAATAAAAATATATAGTGAGCCTTGGGGCCAAGTGACCTCGGTTACAGTAATCTATGTCACTAAACAATATTTTTCCAGTTGTTTTTAATGTGTACTTTTGTTTTTATTGTACGATCATGTTAGGAAATACTCATTTCGATTAATTCCTACAAAGAGCAGCTATTAACTTGCTATGCAGTTTGAACATGTGTTCCATATATTTTTCGAAATGCATAATCTTGAGTGAATATCGTCTAGATTAGTGTTCATCTACAATTTTATTTTTTCATTCATACGATATTTATTGCATGCTTATCACATGCTAGGCACCACTGAAAGGGGTTTGTCCTCTAATGTCTGTTTTAAACTTCAGAAGTGCCTGGTCGGTGACACTACCTCCATTTCATAGGTGAGAAAATTGAGGCTCATAGTCTCTGTCTTTTTATTCTTTGTCCAGCACCTTTCTACCGTGTCAGTCAGCCTCAGGTGTAGATGTCACTTGAAAATTGACCAAGTAGGATTTAGGATCTTGTCACTGAGTTCTGAATACATCTGTTTGATTATCTACTTATGCAGCGTTGTTAGAGTTAAAGGAGTTTCCAGATATTTTTGGTATTTGAATTTTTTGCTTAGTGACTTCTATATTGTTTATTTACCTTTATGCTAAAATAAATTTGATAGCTTTCCTTAGATTTCTAAAAAGCCTAGAATTCGTAGGGATTTCTAAAGGATGATTTCAAGAAAATGTTTTAAGATACCGTGTGTATTAATTACCTTTACATGTAAATCCATATGGTATATTTTGACAGATACGCCTTGACCAAAGGTAAATAAAATTGGCTGGCTTAAAGATGTTTCTTTAAATAGTTTGTGGAAATAAGGAAGCATAAACTAACTCAGTCAATGCATCGATTGATTTCTTGTGTCATTTTGATTGAAATATGGATGGTATATTTTGTTTCAAGATTGTCGGGAACGTTTTGGCCTATAGAATCTGTAGATCCATTGTTTTTGCACATATTTTAAATTTCTGAATTCAGAACACCAAAAAACCATGTCGCGTTTTGTCTCAGATGCTGCTACTGAATTTTAACCACTGAATTAGATTGCACCCTACATGCTGTTAACTACTGAGCCAAGATGGAATCGACCACTGCATTGAAATCAGGGTTAGCAGTTTTTCTGCACTTGAAGGCGTTGTAATAGCATTGAACTTGTTTTCTTTAATGGGATTTTTATTCTCTATTTTCAGTTTTAATAGTGAAACTTTGATTTTAAGAGATTTCTTAATAACACTGCATATTTATTTGATATTTTCACTGTAACTGTAAGAAGATAGTAAAACCATCCTATAGACGTAGTTGCTTCTGAACCCAAACATCTGGGGGCATATCTGCATTGTGTTAGTGCGTTAGTGCTGTTTCCTTGTTTTATTTAATAAAGTGATCTTTTGTAAAAGGATAAGTCAGTTGTCCATGTGGTGTGAGCCTTTATCTAGAGTTCAAATGGTTGTGTATGTGTGTGCATGAATTTAAAATCATTCCTTTGTGGGTTTTCTTCTTTGGAGTCTTTTTTGTATATGAGAATTCAAATAATTGTACCTCTCTGAATTTGTTTTTTCTTTTACATTAATAGGACTCGATCCCACCCAGTTTAGAGTTCATCATTATCATAAGGATGAGGAGAATGATGCCCTCCTTGGTGGCCCAGCCCAGCTCACTGATGAGGAGAAATACAGGGACTGTGAAAAATTCAAGTGCCCATGCCCTACATGTGGAACAGAGAATATTTACGATAGTGTCTTGGACAGTTCGGTTAGTTGTTTCTTTGTTTCTTCATTTTGTTAGCCAACTAGCATAGAAGCCTTTCCTCCCCCACTGTATGTATAAAAGGGGAGGAAAATGTTGCTTTCATGCATTTAAAGAATTTTAGCATCATATGAATTCTGCCTTCACGGCTTCATTTCTGCTTGAAAATTCTTAGTAGACTATGCTTGAATATTGTTTTTGGCTTCCTAGAGTGGTTGCTTGGCCTTGGTTTTTAAATGGAATCTCTTAAAAATTCTAAAGTACCCTAAAGTATTTTTTATTGTAATTCCTTAATTAGTAACTTGTATTTCCCCACTCCCAGCCCCAATTTATTAAGACTTAGAGCAATATTTGCCTTTATCTTAAATCAAGTTAATGGGAACTAAGTGTTTTTGGAAAGTTTTTGTTTATCTTTACACATCCCACTTGCCTCCTTTTTGACAAAGGTACTCTGATTATCTTTTCTGCTGTCTTTGCATGTCAGACATTAAAAAAGTCACAGGGAAACATTCCTCTCAAGAAGTACTGCCAAAAAATGTATCATTGACCTTGGTTCAGAACTTGAAACTTAGCCAATTTACTTGATTCAACTGCAGTGTTATACATGTACTAGCCATTGGCAAATGAGTAGGCAGGAGAACTGTGTAAAACCTTGAAACTGAAAGAAAATACATCCTTTATCTAAATTAAAAGTAATTATTTTAAGTTAATTTGGACAAACAGCAGATGTTTTGCATTTTTTTGAATCAAAACAAAGCAGTCTTTGGAAGCAAGTGCAAGGAAGAGGCAGACACAGATCAGCAATACTTGCTAAATCCTTGAGTTTTGCTTCATTACAGCTGTAAATAAGATAGTTAATTGCATGGAGGCTTGACGACTTGCAGATGGGCTAACTGTGGAAGAGCCGATGTCAAGCTCTAAAATCTCTTCCACCTGGAATTGCTTAGCGTGGCGGGTAGGGTTATGTACCAGATTGGAGCAGGAAACCAAGATGTTTAAGTATCAAGAAGGAAAACAAATGCTCCAGAAACCCCAACAGTTTTCCTATATATTCTATTTGCTTTGTTTTCGCTTAAAACAAAACAAAACAAGAGGTTTTTTCCAGCTAATAATAGTTAATTCTTTCCAATTTCTACTGTTCTGCCTTCCCTTCCCCAAATAATTTTCATTTGAGTGGGTGGTGGAGAGGGAGGATTACAGAAATTTTAGATTTTCTAAGGGGACAATAAGTGATTGCTTTCTGGTGTAGTACTTAATTTTTAGGCTTTAATCGTCAAATTAAGTTGCCAATATGAAAGGAAACTAATGTCATTAATGCGCTTGCTACTGTCTTCAAGTTTGGAATGAATAAGTACAAATTTAAAATTTTGATCAATATCTCTAAGAATGTTTATGTTCAATAGTGTGACCTCACTGGTATTTTCAGAAGGAAAATTATTTTATCCATAAGATCTGTCATATATTGAAAGTAAAAACAAGTGATTTCAGGGTTTTCCCTTCAACTTGTACTCTTATTATGGTGGCAAAAAGGCAGGAGGTTCGTGTAAGGGGATCTTTGAGAGGACAGTAGTTGGAAAAAGAGGGTTAAAAACTCACTAATGAAATGAATTAAATAATATTGCACACCAGGACAGCATGTTAGTTTTTAAGCCCAAAAAACCCTTTTCTGGTCTTGCAGTAACCTTTTGTGTATTTGTCTCTTCTGACTTCTGTAGGGAACTGACATGGAGCCCAGCTTGTATCGCTGCAGTAACATTGATTGTAAGGCTTCACCTTTGACCTTTATGGTACAGCTGAACAACAAATTGATCATGGACATGAGACGTTGCATTAAAAAATACTATGAAGTAAGTATCCACAATGAGTTTCTTAAATATGCAGCTTACTTAGGTTTGGTTCTTTTTTTTTTTTTTTTTTAAGACAGAGACAGCGAGAGAGGGAACACAAGCAGGGGGAGTGGGAGAGGGAGAAGCAGGCTTCCCGCTGAGCAGGGAGCCTGATGTGGGGCTCGATCCCAGGACTCTGAGATCATGACCTGAGCCAAAGGTAGACGCTTAACGACTGAGCCACCCAGCCGCCCCTGGTTCTTGTTTTTTTAAAATAAAACAGTATGGTTTTGTATTCCTGGTTTTTTATGAAACTAAAATTCTGAGAAGACTTTGCAGAAAAAGTATTTGATTTTCTATTGGACATCTCTTTCATTAATGAGCAGTATTTTTTTTAAAGATTTTATTTATTTATTTGAAAGAGAGAGACACAGCGAGAGAGGGAACACAAGCAGGGGGAGTGGGAGAGGGAGAAGCAGGCTTCCCGCGGAGCAGGGAGACCGATGTGGGGCTTGATCCCAGGACCCTGGGATCATGACCTGAGTCAAAGGCAGACACTTAACAACTGAGCCACCCAGGCGCCCCAATGAGCGGTGTTTTAAATACTGAATTTTTGCTTTAAGGAAAAATGAGAATATAATCAGGAAATATTTTAGTTTGTTGTTACCTAAGTAAGACTAAATTAAGTGGTCACTCAGGTCTTTGGCCAGAGGAGAAAAAAATCAGTATTGTCTGTCTTTGGCGAGAAGAGCCATAACATCATGTGTGGTGATTTTAATAACTCCCCACTAGCTAAGACTTTACATTTCTGTGGTTAATCTAAACCATTTCATAGCTGTGTTGTCCGGGGAAATCAAACATTTTTTAAAAGATTTATTTATTTATTTTGAGAGAGAGGGAATACAAGTTGGAGGGGCAGAGGGAGAGGAGAGAGCCTATGGAGCAGATCACCCCCCACCCCTACCCACCCCCTGTGAGCCCAGAGCCTGACACAGGGCTCAATATTACGACTCTGAGATCAAGACCTGAGCCAGTTGGACACTTAACCAACTGTACCACCCAGGCGTCCCTAAACATTTTTAAACTTTAAATGCAATTTGTCATTTTAAAGAGAATGTCTCATTTTTATAAGTACATAGTAAAAATGCTAGAACAGTGAGTGAGCTGTCTGCGTTAGATAGAAGGCTTTTTTCAAAGTATTTGTTTTGGTTTTAACATATTTCATAGGGGGTGAGTTTTTTTCTTCAAAACTTAAAATTGAAAAAACCACATACTTCCCACTTGATTTTTCTTAGTATTTTTGTCATTTGTCATCTAAACAAAATTTCTATTATGTGAAAGCTCAGTGTAACTTATTTAAAGAAGCTACACTGGCAAAGCATTTCCAAAAAATGCTCAGATTCCATTAGTTAAACCCTTGACTTTGATCAGTATCATCCTTTAATATCTAGTTACATTAGTTAACTTATATAATATAGCATTTTCTTCTTTAAAAATCCATATCATGAAATGAAAATCGATTATTAGATCATTAGGATGAGGAGTAGAAGCATAGAGTTTCAGTATTGTGATTTTGGAGTAGAATAATTTATATTTGTCAAAAACACCCAAGTAGGTTTGTCTGAAGACATTTTTAAAATAATAATTATGACTACATTTTGGGAAATCTGAAACATTTTAGTGAATAATCCTGAGCTATGCTTAATGAACAGTTGGATCGGAATAAAGGTTATCTGTGGGTTCACATTCCGCAGTAGATGAAACGTTCAGCACATGTAATGTTAGGCCTTTATTTAGCATGAAGAGCCCAAATCAAAACTATTCAGCTCCTCACTTACAGCTCTCGTTGAGCAGAGCATGATTCTTGACTCTTGGGAAGAATTCTGAGTTTTCTCTCAGTGTTTAGTCTATCAAAATCTTTACCATGGAAAAGTTAATACTAGAAGAAACTCATCTCTTTCCTTCTGTAAGAAAGGACAGTCTGTTTTGACTAAGTTGAGAATAGGCAGAAAGGGATCTGTATAGTTAGAAATATGCTCTAACTGAAAGATTGATTTCTAACTGAATTGTATGTGGGTGGTGGTGGTGGTATGAGTATTTTTCAAGCTAAATAACCTACTTTTAGGCATCTAGACATTTAACCCAGTGTTTCCGTAGTATTTGCTACCAGCTATCTCAACAGCAAGTAACAGTTTTCCTCTAGTTAAGTGTGTCCTGGATTGATTTTTCTATAGGATTTCTAATTAAAGTACCAAAATAGCACTCCTGAAGTTGAAGACTGATATGACTGTCCTCAAAATCAGGAACCTATTTCTCTACTTGCTGATCTTAGTCATATGTAATTGGATGGGAGAGAAAGAAATCCATTTATTTGTTCTTTTTATGGCCCCATGCTGAACTAATGTCTCAGATATTCTCAAGACTAGAGCTTTTATACAGAATGCTCAAACACCTCTACATTCTACTTCACTGGTAGACTATTCTCTTTTATCCTGTCCTCAGACTTAAAGGAACTTTTGCTGATAGGGGGATATGGCATTGAGTTTTTGGGTTTTTTTTTTTGTTATTATGCCTCAAGCGATAGTGATGACAGTTCAGTGTGATACACCATAGCGATGGCAATCCAGCTGGAGATTAATACATCACCTGTACTGGAGACAAGGATATTGGTAATAAGTACTGAGGTAAAAGGACTGTTTTCTGAAGCTAATGACCAAAAGGGTTTCTTCCTATTTTACAAGTTAAACAGTACTGGGCATAAAAATTGTCCGTGGACTAAGAGCAAGAGACAATATTGTTTTTCATTTTAGTCTTAGTATCACTGCAAGGAAGTACAACCTACATTAAGAAAGGAAGGCATCTCCTTTATAAGGAAGGAACTTTAGGAAGACGGAGGAGTATAGTACTTGACCTAACACTATAACCTGCCAAGGAACATAGTTGTAGATCACCAAGAAATCAGGTTGTCAAGAACAAAGGGACAGGAGTTTAGGCTAACAAAATATGCTTCTGAACCACTTTTTAAAAAAATACATCATATACCCTGTTAGTTTCTGTCATGAATAAAATAGTGCTGATCGAATAAACGTGGTGTAACAAACATTAAAAATTTTGCATATCTGAGAATCTATATCATATAATGTTTTTATACTGGTTCCTTCCATAGGAGAGAATTTCTCTCCATATAGCAGTGATTGTATCCCTTGAATTCTCATTTCCTAGAACATTTACATTTCAGTGCACATAGAAATACAAAAGGCATCAAGCAAGAAAATATATTAATTGCTTTAGGAGGAACAACAACTCTAATACTTTATCCAAGACTTGATGGAAGCATTGAAAGACTTAGATATCACAGAAAGCTCTAATTCAAAGTTCATTTTGTGCCCTGGTCCTTGTTGGTTCCCCTATACAAAGTTAAAATTGAACTGTATTTTTTGAAAATCATAAAAAGCCCGTGTAAAGACTATATCTCTAAGCTTTGAAGGATGTTTTTGAAAGACTCAATTTTACAGTGAAAAATTGATATGTTTCTTCTCCCCTTAAATTCTGCTCCAGAAGAGCAAATAGACACACACACACACACACACACACACACACACACACACACAAAGGGAGAGAAACACTAGCTAATCTAAATTGGGAAATGAAGAGGGCTTTTTTTAAGCATGAAAATTTCATCATCTTGTCAGCTGGCAGAATGCCTGCTGTGTGGATTCACAAAGGCTAAGAATTACACTTTCATGAAATTTTCCTCACTAACTGCCCTGGTTAATTTGAAAGATAACCCACTGTTCTAATTCATTCCTCAATTGGGCGGTGCAGGTTTTATCTTTGATCTGACAAAGCATTTGTGTTAATCGTTTTGGCCCTCCACTAGACACTCTTGGGATTGTGCTTTTACAATAAATGTGTCTGTGATAGCTCTTTAGTCTATTATACTTACAATAGATCCATAGAACTGGTAATTAATTCTCCACTGCTTTGGAAATGGGAAGAATAGGTGTAGCTCTGTCAAGTACTGCTGGGAAGTTTGTTTAGCTGGTTCATTTTTGAAGTGTTCCCCTCAGCCGTCCACGAAGCAGCCACCGAAGAGAGTCTGAGACTGAGTTGCTGTCTACCCTGAAGACTTGCTGATAAATGGAAAATCTGACCCCTCTTGGTACCTGGGAGGGGTATAGTGAGTCATATACTTCCATCGCAAGTATTTTTAGTTATAATATACATTGAACCCTCATTTTAATACTTACAGAGCCATTTCATTCTAAAGGTGGGTGGTCAACTAAAATATACTCCTAAATTCTCACTGATGACTTATGCAGGTTTTAGAATTCTGGTGGGACAAAATGTATCCCTCACAAGCCTTGGAGTCTTTCAGACCACTTGTGAAGGAGCATTACTTACACCCAGCTCTTTGCTATGGTTTTTTAACAGATGTTGCTGGCCCTCCATCTTGAAAACTTAACTTTGGACAACTAGTCAGTGCCATGCATATGATAACTGTCGATTAGTTGCTTAGACCAGAAAGTGGTGGTTGAATCCCTTAGAAACTTGCTGTTGGTTTTACAATTGCAGAATTTTCCTGAAGTAAGCTTTCTGAGGACAGGGGCTATGTTTTCTTCTCTGGCTCATCTGTGATCTCTGCCACAGCCCGTTGCTGTCAGTAGTGTGTGTATTCTAATGGTTAGTAACCAAAGGAACCAACAAATGAAGGTTACAGTGTTATGTGTTTTCTTTAAATTCTTTTCTTACACTGCTGTCATAACTGGCAGAAGGTCTATCATTAGTATACAAGATTCTCAGATTAGCACAAAATTCCACAGAATTTTAAGGTCATGAAGGCATTGACAGAGTTCTTTGTTACTCCCTTCCATATTTTACGTCACTGATTACTGTTGATTTCATTATACACCAAGCTCCAACTTCGTAGCTTCAATTTGTTTTCTCCCCAAACACTGTATCAGGCAAAGAGGCATTGACCAGAAATATTTTTATCATGATTCAAAATCCCCTTGTGCAGG